CCTTAGAGCTTCTTGCAAAGCAAATTAAGCTGCTGTATGAAGTATAGTTCTATCAGCTATCAGTTTTATTTTATTCAAATCACACCACATTTGTCAACACAGTCAATGTCTCCAAAATCTTCTCTTGGAATCTGGAGTCCATCATGCTAACTCTACCTACAACCTTTAACTCATCAGGACTCAGTGCAGTAATTACCATTTGTACACAAATTCATGCCAGTGTTTTGAAGCTATAAAGTGCTATCTTGCATGTGGAATATTCAGTCCTAACTGATGAGTTTTTAGAGCCTGAAGAAATACAAACAAAAGTAGTAGTTACCAAATGAAAAAGCTCATTCTCCAGTAACTTCTCCAGACATTTACAGTACAGAACAGTGGTCCTTATGGCCAGAGAAGTCAGTAGAGCAGAGTATTTCCAAAGCATTCTGCAGGCTAACAGCTTTGCTACGGCATTCTTAAACACAGTTTCTCAGAATTTCCATATATAATGTAAGCGTTTTGTTTTGTTTTACTGGTACCTCCAATAGGCACTTCATTGTCCACTGGAGACCAGCACTATCAGAGCTAAAACCAAACCACCACAAGTTGCACTTTTCATCTCAGTCAAAAAAACATGGACAAGGTGTCTGAATGACTTATTTGTTCTGTTATGTTTGCACTATTATAATTCTAGCATCTTGTAATCAGACATCAGTTAAGTGTTTTACCTAATATCTCTGATTGTTGCTCTCTTCATTGGATCCACTTGCAGCATGTGCTTCAAAAGACTAATTACAGACGGATTCAGGTACTGAGGTGTATAAAAGATACCATCACATATCTTCTTAAAAAGGGTTGGCACGTGATCATCATCAAATGGAAGTGTCCCGCATAACAGAGCGTAGAGAATAACTCCACTGCTCCAAATATCTACTTCTGGACCTGCATATAACCTGTGAAAAAGTCAACTATTATTATTTCATATATTTAAATATTTTTTCCTCTACTTTCTTACATTGTATCACAGTAATTAAATGCACATGAACTTGAGACAACTGATTTGCAAGTGCTATACCATTTCAGTTCTATGCCATGCCTGCCTTGAACTTCAGTGCCCTATCCCTTCTAATATTTAACAGGGTACAGGTATGGAGTTTTCCTCTCTCATGTAAAACAATAATCTACAATGCAAAGTCAGACAATGGGAAACTGAAAGAAATGTGCACCCACTGCTAAGAAAGCTCATGTTATACATTATTAGCTATGTTTTAGAGCAATCTGTGCGAAGTCATCTATCCCCCAACTCGAGGTTGAAAATTTTAAGACAAATCCATACAGCAGAACCCATCACATATTCTGTGCTACTACAAGAGTAAAACAGACATCTGGCCTCTAGTCAATAACAGGCAATATTAGGATGGGTAGCTAAAAGCAGATTTGACCATCATATAGTCCACAAAAAGGGAAATTACCTTCAGACTGAGTATCTGCTCTGCAGCAGATATTTTACTGCTACCCAGCAGACTTGACCTGTAACTCTATCTGCATCTCTACTTCCAACATCTGAGCTGTACAGAGGATTTTTAAACCAATTCAGGCACACTGTACACATTGGATTTGGGGCATTAAGCATCTCCTCTACCTTACAGGAATGATTAAAAGCTAGTTCATAGAAACTTTAAATACTCATGAAATATTATCAATACAATAAACAACCCAATTTCTCAGCATCAAACTTGTCAATTCATCTAGTTTTGTAGCCTTTAGAATCAAGCAGCAAAACAACTAAGTACATGCACACATGTAACCAATATAAAAGGAACTACCTTCCAGAAATTACTTCTGGTGCAGCATAGTTAGGGGAACCACAGCTTGTTCTTAAAAATTCTCCATCTGACATCATATTTGATAGACCTGAAAGTGTATAAAAGTAACTACTAAAAATTCAGGGAGCAAAATGATTTCACACTGCATATACCACCTAGAACAAACCACTAGTAATTCAAATTAGAAAATTAACAAATTTATCTAAGAAAAGAAGTAACATTGTTTGGAGTTAATGAAATTTTCATAAAAGCATGTCACATAATCCTTCATTTACTTCACCAGAAATCTGAGTAACATCACTTTGTTATTGCCCACAACCTAGAAATATTTGAGAACATATTCATGCCAAGACAAATGCCAGTCCAATTTGGATCACACAGGCATGACAGAGAACAAAGCTGCGCTACGGAAGATGAAGAAGTATAGCAAGATAGGATTTTGGTCATTAACAAGAAAATAGTAAAGCCCACATTTGCTTCCAAATTACAATGTGGAAGATGCTACCACAGAATTGCCTGAAGTTCTGTCAGAGGTTGCACAGAATAAAGGAACTGAGGACTAAACATGACTTCACCACAATTCAGACCCCTACACTGCTCAGTTGGTTCCTGAGCCACTGCAGTTCAGTAGTTCGGGGTTTATATACTATGTTAGCAACTGACACATGTTTCAGAACCAGGTCATCGTCATTCCCCAGGCCTCAGTGCAGTCTACTAGCTGTGGAAAATATATTCTAGTTCCTTCAATGAAGGCTACATGATCAAGACTCTCCTAAGCCAAACAACTCAGTCTCCAAGAAGGAATTATGCCCTTTTACAGGGCAGCAGGGAGTGTGGGGTTGGGTGGTGATGGTGTGTGGAGATGAAAGAATATGGAGGCTAGCCAAGCTGTACTCTAATATAAAAAAGATTTTATTAAGCTCTTGTTTAATACACTAGTAATGATTAACTGAGTGCTACAAAATTGCTGACCCTAAGTTACAAAAAGGTATTTTTCTAAGTTACTGTACTTCATTTCTTCAACGCGTAAGCCATTTCACCCAAAGCATTTTCCACACATCAGGATGATTCCCAGGGCCCACACAGTTGAACATCATACTTAGAATATACTTAGCATTACCTAGCACCTTTCATTGGAGACTCAAAATGCTTTACAAGGGCAGGTATTATCCACTCTGTCTGCAAGGGGTATCAACATGATGTACCAGTATGGATACCTCACTATGCTGACACGGTGAGGTTTCCTGATTCAAACTGTTTCAAAAGCCAGCTACAATGCATCTCTGTACCTATGCCACAAGCATGTGGCATAAACAAATCAGCTTTCTGATTACTGAGGCAGGTATACAGCAAAAAAGCACAGAAGGCTGCAAGACTAGCTGTTATTTAAACTTATATTTTAATTCTTTTTTTCAATCACACCTTAAGAGTTTTTAAAGTGAATTTAGAGTAATTTAATAGGAGGAGTAGTGTACTTTATTATAGCACTTTGGTTCTTAAAGATGATGACCTGCCTCTGTGCTGTGCTTCCAAGAGAGCTAAGCATCTACATTTTTACAGATGGTGAAACAGGCAACAGGAGTGAGTTTTGAAGCAGAAGTGAGGAACTAAGTCTATTTAACATTTCAGAGAAAATATTGTCAAGCAACACCAAACAAATCAGCTCACAATTTCACTCAGTCACAGAAAATACCTGAATAAAATACGCTTGAGAGGAAAACAAGTTCAGTACATGTGCTAGAACATTATTTTGCTACACATTTATACTCTTTATGTTCTTGTATTGTGTCCAACCACCAGGACATTCAAGTACACACATTTTATTTAATATTTCCCATAGTAATTAACAGGATCTAACAACAGAAATTCAATCAGGCATAAAAACCCCAATGCTTACCAAAGTCAGCTATCTTGGCATTCATGTGTGCATCAAGCAGCACATTTTCAGGCTTCAGATCTCTATGTACTACCATATGCCTGTGACAGTAATCCACACCAGAAAGGATTTGCTGGAACAGACGTCTACTTTCCTTCTCATCGAGCTAGAACAAAGATTTTTAAAAATCATGAGACAGCGGAAGTTAACTTCGTTTTCACTTTTAAGAACTAGAGGAAATTCTCCCACGAATTTATAGTTTTGGTATTTTATATAGCAGATTATCAGAACTCGTAGCAGAAAGCTCCATATCTTGCATGATTTTGTTTGCAGCACAGCTCTAAAATGATTAAAACATAACATGCCCACTGACTCAGAAATTCAGTCACTGAAATTTCTCCATCACACTTTTGAAACTGCTTAGGTAGTTGTTACATACTAACTAGAAACACTAGCACTCAAACATTAATTCCGTCTAAATGGAGTATCAAGGAACTTTGGCATTTATGCATAAGATTTAAGTTGGCAAAAGCTGCTGAAAGGCAGCATAGAAATGATAAATTTCAGATGCTATTTATGCTATTAGCAGCTAGTACCAAATAGCAGACTTAACTGAGCATTTCCTACACAGATGCTCTAATTCACATCAAATTTTGTCCTAACAACTAATTGAAGTGATACTGAGTAGACTGAAAACAGGAATTGAACAGTTAAAGCTGAAAGCATAAAGAATAACTTTACTAATAGCACTATTTCAGCTTAATTAGCAAAATAGCAAGGATTATATAGTACAGACAAGAAGCTTTACTAATGGTATTGTTTGGGCTTGGCTGGCAAAACAATGCATCTTATCTATAAGACAGTGGAACTAACTAGACTCAAACCTTGGCAGTAGGAGGAAAACGAAGGCCATGTAAAGTGTGGCATGAAGAAACAAAATGTTAAGATAGAGACAAGGTCAGCAAGGCATGCAAAACTGTACAAAGGGGCAAACGGTTGCGTAATAAGGGTGTCCAAAGGGCACTGAGGAAGAGGAGACACTTCATCTTCATGACCACCAAACGACCACCAGGACCATGAGACTGATGCCAGGAGGGAGGAGACAGAGGAGGAGTATATGATAATGATTTCTGAGAACTAATTATAATAATAACCACCCATTCCTGGAAATAGTATGTATGAGCATCTAGTGTTTATGAAATCTGTGACGTTTTCGTCCCTGGTTGGTGGACCGATCCCCCTTGCGCCCAGTGCTGAATAAACAAATACCTGCTACTCAGAGACACAAGTCTGTGAGTAGTTGTTTTCCAGCCTTTTCTCAGCATCAGTTTGGTGACTGTGGCAGGACATCTCTGCTTGGCTGCAGGATCCACTGGAGTCTGGGACTCCCTTGGCGCACCCCGAGAGTTCTTGGAGGGACTCCTAACTTCACCGGCTCACTGCGGGGGCAGACAAAGACTGACTGCTTGAAAAATAAGGTACTTGTTTTTGATACCTAGGTAATTTGGATTCCTATAAGCCGTGAAGAGATGTCTCACACAGGAATTTGTTTTGGTTTGTTTGAGCCTAGGCTGTTTGGGTTCCTGTAAGCCTTGAAGAGACGTCTCACGCAGGGCGCTGTACCACAGGAGAAATTCCTGAGTTGGTACAGGGATTAAAGTCCCACTTGGGTCGGCCCTTCGGTAGCTCTTAAGGTTTTATGACTTTTTGGCATGGAACTAGGTATTGGAATCCCGATCTTGTGTCTTGTACTTGTGGTGTTGTATTTTATTAACTGTTTTAAACTCAATTGTATTCTGTGCATGTGTTAAATCTGTGAAATGAAGCTGTTTTAAATATTCAGATGGGAAGCCAGGCAAGTAAGGAAATTCCTCAAAAGAGTCCACTGGGGTGCACCCTGGCACATAGGAAGGATTTAGGTGTAACCCCTACTGGAAATGTAAGGGGAAAAGATTGAATTAAGTATTGTACTAATTGGTGGCTGCTGTGTAAGTTAGAAGATGCTGAGAAGTGGCCACCATGTGAAACTGTAAAATATAGCACTTTGTTACAGCTGATAAGAGAAGGCAGATAGGATGAAGTGATGTATGTTAAAATGTTTTTATACTTTAAGTGATAAGCCAGAGTGGCAGAGGAGATGTGGCATTAATGCTCCCCCAGAAGACTCACTCGTATTAGCTTTAGAAAAAGGGAAAAGAACTTGTGAGTTTGAGAAGACAGGGATAGATTTTGTTAACTGCACGTTTATTGAAAACAGAACAACAGAAAGAACAGTGGTTGTTAAAATGCTCCCAGATGGGTAACAAATACATGATTTACAAAATCAGATTATGCTGTTGCCTAAATAAAATAAGCTACTTGTTGATAAACCGGACACTTATCATACTGTAGTGGAGAAACTACTGTGTGGGTTATACAAGAAAGAAAAGGAGGGGAAGAGTGAACCAGAAGAAAGTGCACTCAGTGTTTGCAGCAGGCAATTTGTGTGCAGTTGGATCTGATAACTGGGAGAAGGTGGTAAGTGAAGAAGGATGTGGTAGAGGATGTGGTGAAAGAAATGAAGGAAAAACTGGACTAATGTAGCTATTTAGGTAAGAGATGCTGGCACTATGCAGGGTGCTTAAATTGTTACTGTAAAAAACAGGCTGGTTAAGACTGCCCCACCAAAATGTGGTAAGAATGTGACAATGACCCTCCGGATCAATGAGACAGGGAAACCCCTGGAAGTGATAATCGAAAAAGTTCAGCAATTAGGTGACCTCAGGGAATGGAGCCCTAGGAGAAGTGCAGGAAACCGGGATACTAGAGACAATTCTAAAGATAGTGAAGCTCGGATTTCTCGAAAGAACACGTTCAGAGCTTTACTACAGGAAAAGTGTAAATAGCGGAGTTGAATAAAAGTAACAGGAGAGTGTAAATTTCTAAACCAAAGGATTCAGGAACAACTCAGCCTACGGCA